CAATCCCTTCTCCTCCATTCTCCTCTCGGGATCTTGGGCACGCACGCGCACGCGCCCGGCGTGAGTTTTAAGCCACCGGGTCCGGGACAACGAACCGCAGTCGACTACATGGGAGTCCAGCAACATAGCCATTATGCTAACTGCTGGTCCTGACAGTCTCTGTTTTCATAGAGCTTACAGACTCCTGGGAAAGGAGGGACTGAAAGGAATTCACCATGCCTGGAAGGTAGTCCTGGACAGGTAAGGGAAGGCAGGATGAGTTTGGAGAGTAAGGCATGTCAGGAAGGCCGTAGGTGGGGTGTCCTTATAAATTGGAACCCTTGGACCAGTGAGAGGGGCACTATTAATGACACCAAAAGAGATGACATAAGCTGCAACTACCCCAGACAAACTGGGACATCTGTTTACCCTACGTACAGGGTAGATAATTTGTATGTTACTCAAAGAGTAATAAACAAGAAACCACAGAGGAGTTTTAGTCTAGGGAGTGATGTAGTGAAAACGTGCGTGGGGAAGGCAGAGGATTGGACAATGTCAAAGGAGAGGAGAAGCGTGGAGACCAAGTTGGGGCTGTTCTAGGAACCAGGCACGGGAGGGTGATGATGGAACAGATGAAGGACAGGCTCCCCGACCTTTGGAGACCTTGTTGTCAGATGTCAGTGATTGCTAGGACGTGGCAGGTGAGCAGAAGGAGGAGACAAAGGGGACTGCAGGTTTCTGGCCAAGAGAGAAGTGCGAGTGCTATTTACGGAGATGGAAAGGCATGAGGAGAACAGTTTGGGGTAGGGGACATTGGTGCACTCCATTATGGGTACATGAGTTTGAAGTTTGCATATACCCAAGTGGAGATGTTTGATAGAAATTTCTCCCCCTTTATGTACTACCTGAAAGCCAGCCTGCGCCTACCCACGTTGTTACGTATGGCTTAATCCCCATAAAGATCTTGAGCACCTAGATTTGCTATGATGCACTCAAGGGATCATGCCAGTCTTGAATAATGAGTTACTGTTTTGAGCCTTGTGGAAAATAGTGCGACTGTTCCTATTGAAGCAGCTTAAATTAGGCTTTGTAATGGGGAACCCGGGTTCCAACAGCATCAGTGCTTCCCAGCTCCCTGTCAGAACTGTAGAAGATGTGGGTGTTTCTGCAGCTTTAAAACTGAGGGCAAGGACACGTGCGCTTGCCAGCAAGAAAGAAAGCACTCCACGCGGGACATGGGCATGAGATCCCTTCTCCTCCAACACTCCCTCATTTCAAGACTGTGGGCACCCACGCACATTCCTGGCATGTTTCATAGGCCACTCGGTCCAGGACTCAAATCATGCAGTCGGCCATGTGGGTTCTGAATGCCTTAACCGCCAGACCACAGAACCAGCTGTGACTTTTTTTCTTAATGTTTAAATACTTTAGAGCAGAATCAACCAATTTGTGACCTCGGTTGTTTTGCTTTTGCTTTTTAAAAGTTCCTTACTATTTTGAGCAAAAAAATTATAGGTCATAAATTGTGACGCCAGTACATTTACCAAATACCCTACTATCAGGAAGTGGCTAAATCTGGAAGGAAAACAAATAAAGTATGAAGGAAAACAAAAGAAATATATTCTCCATTTAAATTCATTTTACTTCTTTTTTCTTCATCTTTTTACTTTCCTTCATTTCCTATAAAATGAAGCTAGAAAAAAAACCAATCTCCTCAAGCCTAGAAGTGGCTGCACTACAGGGCTCTGAGATTCATTCATGGTGTGCAATTTGCCGTTACTCACCAGAACTGGCGGGTGAGAGTTCATCCCTGGGCGCCTTCAGAGAGCGTGCGTAGAGATAAACACTCAAAACCACAGAGAAAACAGTGGCGGCGAGTGCAAACTGCAGGAAGTGACTGTACACGTAAGAAAGCTCCACGCCCCAGAAGAGAGATGCTCCGACAACTGCAGATGTCAGGACGAAGGCATAGAATCCTTCGGAAAAAAAGAAAGTTAAAAAAAGTAACGTTAACCCAGGACACACCTGAGGTTTACACTGCTGTAAAAATGATACAATGCTATTTTTGAAGTCTTAATTTCATTATTCAGATTAAATATGCACAAGTATATAAATAAGCAATGTCCCTGAAGTATAAATCTTCAGTATAGATATCATTTCTCTTGTCATTTTTTTCAAATATTTTAACATACTTAAGTTATTCTTTTTCATTGAAAACCTGTCATTATCTCCATTTAGTTACGGGAAAGGTGAAAGGAAACATACAGAAATTCGCTAATTGCTAATAACCCAAAAAGAATCTCAAAATTCACATAATCAAATTCTCAGGTCTAAAAGTGGACCGAACACACATTTTAAAGTTAATACCATTGCCTAGTGGTAGGGTAATGTTGGTAGCTGTAAGCTTTTAAATATTTATACTTCTCAGTAATGGTTTCAAAAGATTCTAGTTCTATATTATCATCCAAAACATAGCTCTAAAGATCCAACCCTCGAACAAAGACCAGGCAGAGGACTGGGGTGGGGACTTTCACATACAACGCCAAATAAAGATGCTCCACAGAGGAATTCTTGCTCCAGGCCAGCCCTGCTACACTGACCAAGAGAGATACTAGAGATACTCCGTAGGCTATCTGTGGTTGGTGTGTTTTGAGTTTGGGTTAAAGAAATGGCTTTGCTTTTAGGACCTAAGTGCTTGAAAGGGCTGTGTCCTGAGTAAGTCACCAAATTATTACTATTTTTTTGAGGAAGAATTTTTTTTTTTTTTTTTTTTTTTTTTTTTTTAGGGCACATGGGTCCCCCAGAGGGAAAACAGAGAAACAAAAAGCAAAAAAATCACCCCCCAGGGGGGATAGTCACACTGTGATCCCTTCGCCATTCTTCTCTCGGGATTTTAAGCACACATGCACACATGCCCATCAGGTGTGGGACTTGAACCATGTCAGCTATGTGGGAGTCCAGCAACATAACCATTACACCATCTGCTGGTCCCCGCCATCAAATTACTTTTAGATAAACTGTCAAACACAGAAAAGCAGCAGCTGTTACATACAAATTCTAAAATCAATGTTTTTGTAAAGTAAAATGGTCATCTATAATTTATCTTATTACCTAAATTCACATAGTTCACATATCAGGTTTACTCCAAAGAAGAAATTTTAACTTTTTTAACTTTAACTTTTAAAAAATATTTAATTTTCCTAAGACATATTTAAAAAAAAAAAAACAGTATTTTTTACTCTCTAGTCTATATGGATTAAAAATAATCAAAATGTCTGTTGGCTGCTCCCTCACCTCTTCCCTGAGAAGAAAGTGTGACAAAGGCCCTGCAGAGAGTATGACACATATCCAAGAAACAGCCCGGAGGCCAGTCAGCTGGAGCAGAGTGCACAAGGGCAGAAGCTCCCAGGACGGGAGGCCAGGACATCCACACCAGGAGGACTCCTCAGGCCCCAGAAGTGCTTCAGGATGATAAAATCCTAGACAGGTACAATGACCTCACGCAGTGATACATGCTATCAAGAAAATCGAACTGGATGGTGGGATGACCGAGGGCTGTATGCCTTAATGTGGCATCACCTCCATGTGCTGGCTAGAAGGGCCGGCAGTTCAGGTGTATGCCCTTAAGACTAAGAGACAGTCTACTGTCTACAGCTCTGGTGTCATCAGCTATGACAACTTTTTTCTTTATTCCTGGTAGAGCACATGAGAGAGAGAGAGAAAGAGAGAGAGAGAAGCAGCCTCCACGGCGACTGGTTACGCTGCAGCCTCCTTCCTCCCATCCTCTAGCCTGCTGGATCGTGGCCACTCACACATGTGCCTGGCATATTTCAGGTTGACTGAGCTGAGGACTCGGGCCACAACTGCCAGTGGGATCCAGGTTCTCTTAAGCAGTGCATTCCCTCAGCAGCACAGAGCTAGCTTCCAGCTTTGACAATTTAAAGAGTGCAACTCTTAAATGTTTAAATTATCAAGTCATCAATTTGAGTTTAAAAATAAAAAAAGAAAGAAAAAAAAATCACCATTTAATCTATATTTGAGTCTTCTTCCATCAATGAGAGGTGTTCCTTCTACAACCTTAGAAAGAAAAGAAAATTAATTTAAAAAGCATATACAATCATGTGTGTATATGTGTTCAAATGTCACTTAAATTTCAGCATGCTCAAGAAGGAGGATATCTTACGGAAGGAACACTTAGTGACATGGTCCAAAAATCTTAATGTCAAGCCCTTTGAGGCAAACAATTTCACCTTCAGGAATTTATTGTCAACACAAATCTAGCAATAACTGAGTACACTGAGACCACTGTGTGCCTGGCATATTTCAGGTTGACTGAGCTGAGGACTCGGGCCACAACTGCCAGTGGGATCCAGGTTCTCTTAAGCAGTGCATTCCCTCAGCAGCACAGAGCTAGCTTCCAGCTTTGACAATTTAAAGAGTGCAACTCTTAAATGTTTAAATTATCAAGTCATCAATTTGAGTTTAAAAATAAAAAAAGAAAGAAAAAAAATCACCATTTAATCTATATTTGAGTCTTCTTCCATCAATGAGAGGTGTTCCTTCTACAACCTTAGAAAGAAAAGAAAATTAATTTAAAAAGCATATACAATCATGTGTGTATATGTGTTCAAATGTCACTTAAATTTCAGCATGCTCAAGAAGGAGGATATCTTACGGAAGGAACACTTAGTGACATGGTCCAAAAATCTTAATGTCAAGCCCTTTGAGGCAAACAATTTCACCTTCAGGAATTTATTGTCAACACAAATCTAGCAATAACTGAGTACACTGAGACCACTGAGGTAACCATTCTCTCCTCAGCTGTGCTGTGTACCACCATAAGACTACATGTATTTGAAATACCTTTATATCTGGTGGATCCCTAGCTCAAAATCTTTAATGGCTTCCTACAAACTAGAGAACACGGCCACCGACTCACAACAGCGGGGTCCTTTGCTGTCAGGCTCCACCTTCTTTATCCCATCTACCGCCCACCATACGCATGCCTAGACTTGCTCTGCTCCTTGTACATGTCTGCTTGTCCAGTTCGTTAATCAGCCCATCGAACCTTTATTTCCAGTAGGAGACTGTGAGCATGCTTCATGGCTTGGCCCCATCTCCTCTCTTCATCTGACGTCATCCACAACACTCAGCACAGTGATTACCACAGGGAAGGTACACAAGAAACGTGCGACTTCTACTGGACGAGTAAAAAGTCCACCGGCCCAATGGCAGCCACATTGTACTCCCCCCAAATAACTACTTAGTTGTGTAGCGATTCATCTTAAACTGTAAAATACATCATATCATCTGTCTTGGCTAAACTACTTTATCCTTTCATTAGCTAGAAAGGGAGCCCAGGAAGAGAAATGCAAAACCTGTTTGATCTCAGGATTAGCAAAAATCCCAGATGCTCATTTCGAATAATCTTATCTATCAAAGTTGTCTAGGAAATACTTTGCCAAGCTTTAGTCTGTGAATATAAAAATACACATCTATATATATTCTTTTAGTTCCTTTAGCCTAGGAAATATATATATGATTTTAATAATCAAAATGGCTTTTCTTAGTAAATATTATCTAGTTAGAACTAGCTTTACCGTACATTAATTTGAATTTAACTTCAGCACCTTACCATAAAAATGACTAAAGGTCCAAACCACAAAATCCTTGCTAGAGCCATGAAGTTACAATGAGATTTAAGTCTGCAGGTTCTAACCTGTCACTGGCATTTGCCAACTCCTAGTAAAATTGATCCTCTAGTTTATACTGCTGGCGAACTTGCAAAGCCTTAAGAATAAGATCTTTAAATAAATTATGTATTGCTTAGAGGATCTAAGTGAGTTCTTTTAAATACATCCAGGTGAAGTATTCTACACAAAGAAGGAAACACTACACTCAAAGAAAACAAATTTTGAAGACATTGCCTAAGTTTGAAAAGACTATAAAATGTTTCGCAAATAAATTTCTAAAAGCGATGAGAATTAGAAATTAAAATTTAAATTTAAAAACAATATATACAGTCTAAATTCCACTGGGCTCAGCAGCCTATCAACTAACCATTTAAAGTACTGCATCTGAAAGGACACATACCAAGGGTTCTTCTCCCCTTGTAACCTCATGAATCAGACTAACTGGCAAAATTGTTTTTCTTTTTTCTTTGGTATGGAAACTTCTAAGAAATCTCAATTACATTTTTGAAGTCGAGCTTAACAAGCAAGTATTACAGGGCACAAAATTTAGGCATAACAAAGGAAAAACTATGTTTTGGTAGTTAAGACCAAAAACAGCTTCTAACCTTAAAACGACTGTAAACTTGCTTATAAAAACAGGGAGGAGAGGGAGAGAAAAATCTCACAATACAATGCCCTACTAATAAAACCTTACCTTCCCAATTGGCAGGAGGTAGAACAGAGCTTGAGTAAAAAACCAGAGGAGGTAGACCCCAAACACTCTGGTTTCCCATAAGTCATACAAAGCTGGCAGAGGAGGAGGGAAATTCAGAAGACTGGGATCTTTCTGCTTACACATCAACAGCAACAGGAAGAGGAAGACAGGCAGACCAAGCATAATGAGGAACACACCTGTAAACAATTAATGAACATGCAAGGCTCAGATTTCCACCAGGTTTATTTATTTTAAGAATCACTAGGGGGTGGGGGCAGCAAATGGCACAATGGTTAAATTACTGGACTCCCATGTAGTCGACTGCAGTTTGAGTTCCAAACCCGGTGGATTAAAATTCACACCGGGCATGTGTGAGTGTATGCCCAAGACCCTAAGAGAAGAATGGAAATGAGGCGTGGCTACCCCCCCCCAATGGTGATTTCTCACTTTCTGTCTCTCCCTGTCTCTCCAGTGAGCACACATACCCTATAGCAAAAATCTCTTATTAAAAAAAATAAAGAGCAATGGTAATGAATGAGCTGCTTAAAGAGAAGCCAGATCCTAAGGCCAGCAGGAAGCATGGTGGTTAGGGCACCAGCGGACTTCCACATGGCCAATTATGGTTCCAGTCCTGGGCCCATCAGCTTGAAAATCATGACAGCCATGCATGTATGCATGCCTAAAATCCCAAGAGGAGAATGGAGGAGAAGGGACTGTGGCATGGCCATCCCTCCTGAAAGAAACTTCTCATTTTCCCTCTGTATCTCTCTCTCTCCCCTCTCCAGCAAGCATACACACCCTATGACAAAAATACTACCTTGCTTTCTCACTCTCTCTGGTCAAATTAAAAAATAAATAAATAATTAAATATATAATACTTAAAAAAAAAGGGGGGTGGGGGGGGCCAGATCGTACATAACAACCATGGTTCAGATCCCCAACCAGATCTGCCTAGAATACACCAGGCACACACATGAGTGTCTAGGACCTGACAAGCTCTGTTAGGCTACAGTATTAGAGAAAAGGGATCGCAGTGTGACCAGAACCTTGGAGGGGCGCTTTTCTGTCTCTCTCCCTCCCCTCTCTCTCTCTCTCACATATAATAGTCATTTTTTTCTTAGGGTCAGAACTTATGTCTGGCTAGCTATCTGAAACCAACTCCTCATGTATCATCAAAAACTCCTCATCCACCTGTCACCTGCAGTGGGTAAGCAAACATGGGCCTCAAAATAGTCAAAAACCCAAAGTCCAGCACCAAATAGATACTGGGTCATCAAAAAAAGTTATGGCATGTTTTTCTATGCAAAAGTGTATCATGATGTTCCAGACGATCCACCTCTGAACCCAAGCTCAACCCCAGTTAACCTCCAATCACTGTAAAAGCAAAAGTGTTGGAACTCCAGCACACTCAAGATCAGACCGTGTAAAATTATCAGATTAACCTTCTATACTTTATATCCCTAAGTTTCTAACAGAACCACGTCACATTCACATAACAAAAGCACATATTTTAAGTGGTGCTAGACACCATAACAGACTAGCCAAGAGTTATAACTTGAAAAATAAAAAGCAGCTAAAGCATTTGGCCAAGAAGTATTTTCTTTGAAATTTAACCAGTTCTGCCCACTTAATAACTCTGAGGCTCTGCACACTTCAGATCTTTGACCCTCATAATCAACCTGTCCTGCAGGCAGGGCAGGCACCCTGTCTACTTTACGCACACAGCCTATTCCCGTGCCTACTGCTGAAACCAGGTCTGAATATCGGCAGATTGCCCTTTCCCTCATCAATCACCATCCTTTCTATACATCATCTCAGACCCACCTTCCTTTATCACTTCTCTCTATTTCTCAGCTAAGCACCCAGAAACAGTTGGCTCAAGGTTTTAAATACAGCCCCAAGGCATCCTTTCTCCTCCATGCTTACCACCCTAATGCTCCCCCCAGGCCTTGGCGCCTGCTGTTCCTTCTCTGGAAGGCTCTTCTCCAGGTTCTCACCTGGCACCTTACCTCTCCTGTTTCAGATTTCTTCAGAGAGAAGCTTTCCTAGGTTACCTTACAGCAACTACCACTCACCCGTCCCACCTGCCCTCCCCAGTCTGGTTCTGACACCTACCAGGTACTCCTCCAAACTCCAAGTCCTTCCTCTGTGTGGTGGTCGCTTCGAAGGTTCTCGACGATGCAGGTTCTTTTGTAACAAGTTTTTCTTCCTTAGAATCAATTTCTTTTAACTTGACCTCTTCTCTTCTTGGACGAAGACTAAACTGCGTAGCTATATAACTTTCTTCTGACAGGTGGAATTTGTCCTAATTAAAAAAATAAAAGGTATCAAATATCTGTAGTCAATAATAACCACTAATGCTACCATATTAACTAATCAGCATCTCAATATAGTAATACACTAACAAGAATAGATTTGTTAAGTGACATTTAGTCTTAATTTAAGGACAGAATTTTAGGACAGATCATAAAACACGACTTTCAATGTGCTTCCAGGGGAAGTATCACTTCAACAAAGAAAAAAAACTAACCCAGATCAAAGTGAACATTTGCATACCTGCTTGTTTTTGTGAGGTATGTCATTCCTCTCGATGTGCTCAGGCTCCCCATTGTATCTGCTGATGCTATTTCCAAATGACTTCTAAAGTGAAGAATATAAGACATTTTAATCAAAAGAATTGTTACTAAAAAGTAACATGATAAAAAATTCTTATCATGAAGTAATAAAACAAAACTTTTGGGCCTGCCAGTGATGTGGTTAAAGCAAGTGGATTCCACATGGCCAACAATGTGGTTCAAGTCCTAGACCCTGCAGCTTGAAAAACATGCCTCTTGAGTACACACTGAGTGCCCGAAATCCCAAGAGAAGAATGGAGGAGAAGCATCCCCTTGGGGGATGCTTTCTCACTTTACCCCTTCTCCCTGTCTCTCTCCAGCAAGCATCTGCAAGCTTTATTTTAAGTTTAAGCAAACTTAAATAAATAAATAAAATAAAACAAGGATTTTCACAGTCTTAATCTGGAAGAATTCCAAGCTCCTTAAAAATGAAAAGGAATGGGGTCAGCAGGTGGCATGGTGGTTAAGGTGTTAGACTCCCACATGGCCAACTGCAGATCAAAGTCCAGACTGGGTGGCTTGAAAATCGTACTGGGCACATGAGTATGCGTGCCCAAAATCCTGAGAGGAGAAGGGACTGCAGCATGGCATCCTGGGGTATGATTTTTTACTTTCCCTCCCTCTGTCTCTCTGGCAAGTGCGCATGCCCTATAGTTATTAAAAGAGAGAGAGAGAGAGAGAGAAAGGAATAAAATTGACTAGAATTTAGTAATTTTAAAAATATATGATCATACAGCACATATTTTGTCATGAGATCATCTTTCAAATTAGTCTGAATGTTATAAATCCACTAACAGATACTTTAATGAAAAATTAAGAAGTAGTAGATACTTAAGCAACATGCAATAGGCCTGGGGCTCGGTGGGTAAGGAGCAAAGCCAATTGCTGGCTCTTATGTCACCAAGACTATAAGGTTACACTGTAAAAACATGGTATCCCTAAATAATAAAAAAATAAAAGTATAACAAAAAGTAGCATCACCTGGCTGGTAGAGGTCACCAATAGTAAAAATATTCTAACTCACTAGTAATTGTCAAAATGCACGTTAGAACAATAAATTGAAAATCTCTGACAACCACATTGGCCAAAGAAAAATAAAACACTCAGAATGGCAATATGGATTCCTACACTAAAAATACTAGTATGAATTTCCTTGAAGTAATCTGGCAACGTGTATTTAAAGCCTCAAGTCTGCACTATACAACTGACCTAGTAGTTCTACTCATAACCATTTATCCTATGTTAAATTCATTTTTTTTTTTTAGAGGCTTTTGCCTTAGGGCATGTGTACTTGCCAGAAGGACAGAGACAGTGAAAGGCAAAGTGAGAAATTACCCCCCAGCCTGATGGCAACATTGCAACCCCTTCTCCTCCAATTTTCTCCTGGGATCTTGGGCACACACAAACACACACACACACACACACACACACACGCACCCGGCATGATTTTGAAGTCACCGGGTCCGGGACTCAAACTCTAGTTGGCCATATGTGAATCCAGCGACACAACCACTATGCTATCTGCTGCCCCCCCCACTACCTAAGAGATAATGTTAATAATAATCAGTTGTTATATAAAAATATTTGCTTATAGCAGTAAGAATTTAGAAAGGAAAAACAATGAATATCTACAATAAGGGAGCTAACTACATCTATATAATTTATGATAGATCCATGCTATACCATACTACAATAAAAGGGGACTTTTGCACTTTGAAAGTAATTTCATCAAAATTATCAATTTGAATAGAAAAAGCGATCAAGGAGAATGATGCTAAGAGAGGAAGAGTATGTTTCCGTAACACACTGATTTCATACATGAACGTTTAGACACTGTAAAAACTGTTCAACCTAAGAGCTATGCCTATTTCAAATTTAAATTTTGCTTTTTTAAAAATAACTACAATATTAAATAGCACTTCTGGGAACTTAAGAACATCCTTTCTCACTGACATTTAAACTACACCTTCTATTCCAAATATTTATTTTATGTAATTCCAAAGTCAGCACCTTAACCTTGATTTCACCAACATTTTTATATTAAAATCATTTGCAAATCATTTGAATAAACAGCACAGAAAGGAGAAGACTGTGTTTTAGACAGATGAAACACCAGGTAAGGATAAAGAAAGTACCAATGACAATGGAGTCAATTTAATTTCCAAAATGTCCCTCCTTGCTTCCTTAACGTTGGCCTGGTGAGAAGCAGAGGCAGATCTTCGGGAACTTTTAGGTGGCCGACCAGGGGATCGGGAGCGTGACCTTGACCGACTGCCCCGGCGTCTGGAAGGAGAACTGGAAGTTGAGCCACTTTTCCTTTGCCGAAAGGAAGTTAAAGGCTAGAAGGGAGAAGAAGGCAAAGAGGTTTATTAGAAATCATAACAACACAGACGGACCCAAACTAGATGATAACACAGGCAGCAACTTCTTCACCAACTCTGAAGTCATCAAGGGAAATCACAGGGTCTGGGACTCGATCAGATGAGGCCAGTGAAAAACACTGCAATAATGATCCATCTCTCAAGAGACGACATGGCCCTTCCATCCCTAACTGCTCTTTTATAGTATTTCCATGAAAGATATACTAGTAGCTGTACATACGTACTACTAGCTGTACACATTCCCAGTAACATACAGGAAGGGCAATGATTAGCACTGATTCATATTGCAGTGATAGGACAAAAGATAGTCGTGTGTAGACAATAAGAAACAAAATAGTCCCACAGTTTCACTCTGAACATAACACACAAGCAGATCCTGAAAGCAAAAGAGAAAGTTTGGATCATTTGGTATTGTTCTACCCTGTCCTCACTCATTGTAAATCATTCCTTTCAGTGTATGGCAAGGGTTGACCACAGCAAGGCAAACTTTGCTCCAGGCCAAACCTACCACCCCTTTTTTTATGTGACCCAAGCTATGAATGGTTTTTACACTTCTTAAATAACTGCAAAAAAGAAAAAAAAAAAAAGTTTTTGTGATGCATGAAAATTATCTGCAACTCAAATTTCAGTGTCCAAAAACAAAATTTTATTGGAACATGACCCATATCCATTTCTTTCCATACTGCCAGGAGTAGCTCCGAAGCTGCAGAAACTAGGTGGCTCATACTGCCTAAAATATTTACTGCATGTCCTTTTATTCAAAAAATATGCCAACCCCTGGCCTAGGGCACTCGAAGTGTGGTCCACAGGCCATCCAAGAACATTTGTTACTGGTCTGCAACAGGTTCCAAAATGCAGAACGGGTGTACAGAAACTTACATAGCATTCGACAAAGCAACTGTATATCTATTGAATCTGATAATAAAAACATGCAGCTTTTATCAATTCTTCCATTTTTCTAGTAATCCATTTTTATGGCATTCTGCATAAGCATTTGTAATCACGGATCAAAATCCAGGCCCTTAACAGGTAAGTTGAGGAGCTCTTATTAGATAAGTACAGGATGAAGCTCAACCCCTAAACATGGAATAAAAAAGTCCTCCAGCCTGAGTGCTGCGTAACTTTCCACTGGTCCTTGCCCACCACACCTTTCTAGCATCTGGCTGTGTCCCCTCAACTCACCAGACTTTGGCATGCTGCCCTCTCTGTAGAAGCCACCCCAACACCAACTGAGTTTTTCCTATTTCTCTTCAGCACTTGGCTCATATGTCACCACCTCTGAAAGCCCCCCTGAAACTCAGGGCAGGTTACCTACCCTTGAATGTGCTCACCACCAACCCAAGAAAACTCCATTAGAATATATTAAGCCCAAGCCCAGCAGGTGGCATGGTGGTAATGCACTGGACATCCACACGGCCAACCACAACCACAGTTCAAGTTCCAGAGCTGGCACTTTCTCTTCCTCTCTCTCTCTCTCTCTCGTCAAATTGAAAAATAATGATAATAAATAAAATTAAATGAATAATTCTTTGAAAAGAAAAAAGAATGTATTAAGCCCAGGAAAATAACCAATGTACAATGAACATGTCAGTCTTCCCCAGTAACCATGAGCTTCTTGGAACAGGGCACTATTTTCCATTCATGCACTCCCAGAGCCAAAAACAGTGCCTGATCCGAAGCAGGGACTCAACCCTCTGCTGCCAAACAAGCCAGAACTGACTCCCCTGGACCTGTAGTTATGACCCACTTTTTATAAGCACAGTCTGGTAAACCAAAGGGCGCTCTTACCTTCATGTCACTCTCTTTCAATTCAAGTTCGGTTCCATCTTTGTATTTTACGGTGTAAAGCTGGGACTTGCTGTCATGGCTTAGAATTTCTACTTCATAATAAAGTGAACTCCCAGGCCAGCGTCCTCTTACCACCTCACCATCTGCGAATTTTCTACTTGGCATTTTCTAAGTTAGTCTGAAACATTTAAAGAAAAAAACTGAGTTCATACGTACACACTTGTACTTGCCCTTTTTCATAGGTTTATCACTAAAACATAACTCCCTAGAATTTTTAGCTGGTCAAGATTTTAGACCCAAAAACACAACTGAAGGAGAGAATGTTCACCTCCTTATTTTAAAGTGAAAGAAAACCGACACCTAAAAGTAACTTTTTTTCCAAGGGCACAAAAAAATAGATGGCATGAAACTGCATAGTTGTTAGGTCAATTCTTGAGTTGTTGTTTTTTGTTTTTGTTTTTGTTTTTTTTTGCTACAATACGTTTCATTTGAAATCACTTCACAGAGGATGAGTTGGGGTCTATGACTAAGTGTAGCAGAACTGAGCATTAATCAGGTCAACACATATCTGCACTGGAGAGTTTGCACTATATATATAACACTACCCACAACAATGACATTATTTCTTGCTAATCAATCACAAACAGCACACTTTCTAATCTATAATCTGGGAAAATTAAGGATGTAATTTTATAATCTTATAACCTACCAACAGGAAGAATAGTTCCAAATCTATAGGGAATAGCAAATTTAGAGTCTATTTCGCCAAGCTTTCAACTCTTCCAGCTAGAGCCCAAAGGCAAAACCAAGTAACTCCACCAACCATCTACCAGGGCCAGCACCTACTTGGCCTTCGCCCAAGCTCGCTTCTCGAAGGCCTACAGCAGACGTGGACTCCTGTTTATAACAGTCTTTCCTACTGATTCAAAACATAGTCACGAAGCTTTGGACATACAAGGAATTTTTAGCAAGTTCATGGAGAGCAAAAAACTAATACACAGAATTAGGAACTTTTCTGCACCAAAATAAACTCCTATGGCAATTCCATTTTTCCATTAAACACTCTGCAAGATTTGTCATTTATATGAGGCCCCTTCTGAAATACCAATTGATTGCTGGTGCTCCCAGCTCCTAGGTAGTAATGTTTCTCCCTCCAATGACTAGAGTCCACTTGCACACCCCCATACCGGAGCCTCAGACCTTCTCCAACACCAAATGAACTAGCCAGTGGGACCTAGTCCAGAACGCAGTATCTCTCCCTAAGAAACCTTTATCTCATCAAAAAGCAACACCCAATGTACTGCCCAAGCACATGAATGCACATTCCTCACTGGCTCCCGTGAAGAGCTCATGATACAAGGACAGCATTTAAGAACTTTTGAAGACTATGGAATTCAGGAGAAAGTCGCGTTACCTCTTAAGAAAACACCTTTTCTAATTACCGCATTTCTTCTTCTCTGTTAATCACCTGAGAAAAAAACTTCACAAGCTTTTCTTGTTTAGATAGATGGTAGCTAGACTGGGAGATCAAAGAAAACGCAAGTACTTATCTGTGATTAGGGGATGGCAGTCCATTTACACTGAGGTAAAGCGGTGCTTTCTCCCCCACACCTACCTGATAGCATCGCTGGGGTAATGAATGGGTTTGGGTTTGGCATAGGGGAGAGAAGGAGCCCCACAAGCCTTGGGGACGAAGTCAGACCTGGCTGTGAAGTCACCTGAGGGCCACTCCAGAGGGACAGTGGACACCTCCGGATACAGAGGAGGGGCACAAAAAGGGAAGGTGACAACAGCAAGTGCTGCCATTTCAACATTTTGCTCTGAGCCTCCATGTACTAGGAAAGAGGAAGGAAATGTGCCCTCCTTTCATCTCATGTGCTCCTTCCTCCCCCCTGGACCCCAAAATCAAACCACTGCAACTAGTAATAGTTCTACTACACTCCTCAGCCAGGGTTTGAAGAAAGTGATTATGTCTTTCTCCATGAGGCACTGCTCAAGTTTCAAACACCTATAAACCTCTGAAACACAAGCCCTTCAGGACTTAAGGACTACATGCATTTTTAAAAGGTCCTTGGACAGATGCTATTCTTTTTATATCTATTGACAGCTTTTCAGTGCACCGGTTACACACCACATACACAGTATCTGTGCCGTACTAAGCACAGGTCAACGCCAAAACAACTTTCCTGTTACCAGTTAAGTAGCTGGAGGTTACAGATGATGGCATCTGTGGATATACCTGGTTTGGTCTCTAAGATTAATTTTTTAAAGAAGACTTGATTAAAGGTTGAGATTTGCCAGTGATCTTTCCTATGGTGGTTGAAAAACAAGCAAAATAAATCAACCAGCACTGTCCTTAGGATACCACTACCCTATCTACAAATGTTCACAGGATGAAGCCCAGTATCATGTACAATCTCTCTTTGCACAAGATCCACACAAAATTGTCAAATGAGAGGATATGGTGGGTTCGAATCCTACTGTAAACTTCTGCAGGAGTGAATTAGCCAGGAGAGGACACAAAAACCCCAGGACACCTGTGTGTATCTGGACTTCAGATACACATGGGCTGGCTTCCCTTAGAAAGAATGTTTCAGCCAATTGTGTTAGAGAAAATTTTCATTTGCTGAATATAATGTCCTCATTCCCAAAAGATACCAGAAACACAGGGAGCCTCAAGCTCTTCTCTATTAACCCAAATTCGTGCTAACCTCAGTGTCAATTGGCACTAGAATGCTCCCGCAGTCCAGCTCCAGTAATGCTACAACTTATCACCATGACAATTCTCTGATCAAATGCTCTGCATCTTTGGTCATCTTTCCTGCACTTTTCCAAAGTAATCTAAAATGTGCAGAGGAAAAGCGGCTCAAATTCATTGTGACAGCTTCCCTGCAAGACCTGAGCCCTAGGCCTACCAGGCAAAGGCAAACAGGAACCTCCTTGCCTGGCTCCGCGCCCCTGCCGCACCACTTAAAAGAAACACAACCTCCCAGGCTCTCAAAGCAGAACGGCCTTTCTCCCGAAGAAATATAAATACGCGAAAGCGACTCATCCTTCCCTTCCTACTCGCTCTTTCCTCCATCTCCAGACAGATCTCCCAAACTAAACTTAAACTTAACACTTGTCGCCCAGAACAGATCAGGGTCCCCCTGCCCTTCTCCGTAGCTCCCGCCGCTCCTTCAGAGCAGTTATTACACGAGGTTAACCACATACGGACCTACACAAGTCGTGTGCAAGGTCCCCCTAGCTCTGCGGAGCAGTGCCCCACGCAGCAGGTGGAGACGCACACTCGGGAGCCGCAGCGCGGTCCACTGTATCTACTGGGTTTTCCAAGGATCGGCAGCGTGACTCGCAGCTAGCCCCTTCATCACTTTGGTGAAGCGCCTGGAACAAGGCCCAGTGCAACCAAGCGCTTACGAAGTGGCCCCTGAGGCCGCTGGAAACGCGGGGCAGGCTGTCATTACGAGATTTGAAACAGCCTTAATAAGGTAAAAAAAAAAAAAAAAAAAAAACAGGGCGGCGTAGGAGCACGCAACTGCCCAAAAGTCCCATTTTTTGTTTTGTTTTTGTTTTTGAGACCATCAAGGCGACAGAATTCAACACAGCCGATCGACAGCCCTGCAGTCTGCCTGGGGGGGGG